AAACATGTGCTGGTGTTTCTTCAGTGCTGAGACATCAGTTATTAGAATAAGACATTCTGTGTACTCAACTGATGATGAATCAAAGTCCATTTTTTTCTCTTCGGGACAGAAATGTAGCTGAGCACAGCTCTGTTACACAAACCAACCACCATTTCACATTATTTTCCTATTCACTCAAACTTCCTCTTTGTAAAAGGAAGTTTTTAAGAAACAAATTGATCTATTTTCAGCAGATCCTTTATGAAAATGTCATTTTTAATAAATAAATGAAAAGTTAAATATGGTTTTAAACACAAGTCTATTCAAGAGTATTCTGCACTAGGCAACAAGACACTGAAACTTGCTGTGTTGTGTTGCCCTCTTCTGGTTGACAGCACTTAAATCTTCTAATTCTTTTTACTCGATAAGCCATTGCATCTCAATTTCTTTCATAAAAATATTCAGATTGGCAGTTTCAAGTAGCAGCTAACTTCACCTCTATCCTTTACCTTTATGCTTAAAGTATTTTTGATCTAAAATTCTAGAGAAGTAAACTTTACTTTTAACCTCTACATCACTCTAATACTAAACTTGAGGATTATCAAATATCAGCTAGTGTTTGAAAAGATGACTAAAAACCCAACTTCAGTACTGCTAAGCAAGCTTCATGACAAGAGGCTTAAAGAGCTTAATTGACTCAGCTTACTGAAGAAAACTGAAGCTGCTGAAATTATGCTGTAAGTGAACTTGGACGTTAGAAAGTCAGAAGACTTTAAAGTGGTATAAGGCAAAACAAAATCTAGAAATTGGAGTTGAAGTCAGACAAATTCAGCCTTGAAATACGATGGAGGCTTTTCACCCCAAAAACAACAACAACAAAAAGATTTTAATAACCCACTAGTATAAAAGGGTGGGTTCATTATTACTTGAAAACTTTACAAGTGGACCCAATATCTTCCTAAACAATCTCTTTTGATCAGTTGTCATAACATGGGTCAAATTGTGATGCTGATTTGCATACTTGTAATGGGTTTTGCAATTAATTATCTAATTAATTGCTCTGCCAATTAATGTGTCAATATGACTAAACCAGTCTTTCATTGCTTCGGACAGGGCCATGCTCAGGCTTCTGATTCATTTATTGAGCCAGATATTAATAGTGTCTTAGAATATTTCATTTCCCCCTCCCACCCTGCTATTTTTAGACTACAGGTCAGGGTGGACATTTAAATTTAGACATCTTGGTACTGCAACCTTAACAGAAAGAGCAAAGTGTTAGATTTAACCGAGATATTATTAAGTATGGAGAATTTTACTCACATTACTAAAGCAGATAAACATCCTAACAATTTGTGACTGCACAATTTAATTACAACATCTTAAGGGACTTACGATAGGAAAAACCTGTTCAAAGCTAAGACCTATTATGTAATTAGACAGTAAAACTAATAACCTAATCAAAACCCTTAGAAAATAAGAGGCAAAGGAAATGATCATTCCAGCACCTCATCCTAGTGGCATGTGCTAGTACCCAAATAAAGGATCAAGCAAACAAATAATTCCAGACCATCCCTTTTTGGGCTGGCAAACAAACAACAGCCAGCCTGCCTTAAGCCAAGTGCAACTCCAGAAAAGTACAGAAAAACATGTACTTAATAGCTTTAATATGTTTTCTTTCACATACTTTTATTATTCTGTTCTCGAGAACAAAATGCTACTTAAAACTTGAAATACAATATACTCAAAGGGCAGACTCCAGAGCAAAGGAGGAAGACTGACAACAGCAAGCAAGAGAAAGTGGGTAAGCATGACACGGGGCAAGAGCAAGATACCAAAACTTGTGGATGAGTGCAAACTAAGTGCAAAACAAATGAGACTCAGAGTGGTTCATCAGGGTAACCTCTATCAGCACATAGAGACTCCTCTCCAGTGCCTGACTAATAGGCCCTGTCACAGCGCCTGGAGCCAAAGACTGATGAAAACTTCCTGCCATCTACCAGCTATATATTTTGTTCAATTAGAAAGTGCAAAACCAGCTGGTCTTATGAACATGCGGAAAAAGTCCTCAAGCCAAACTAGCTCTAGTAAAAGCAATGCTTTTTAATGCATAACATACACAAAACAATTATTATTATTTTCTCTCTTGCTATTAAAGAACAAGTAAAAAAAGCACTCTCTTCAACAGTACTATCAGATAAAAAAGCAAGAAAGTTTTCATGCAGCTGTCAATGGAAGACACAGCAGCTTGTACTTCTGAAGTGGTGGCATGGGGCACTTTTTCGTTTTGAACATATGTAAGCAAAAGTGTCAAAAAAAATATAATCACTATTTTTAAACCATCTCTGGTAGAAAAAGTTTCCACCTCTGTCAAAGGTTCATGTGGTGCAAGCTCCATATGACACAGCTCAGACTATGACAGCTGGTAATAAAATCTCCAAGATCTCTCAGCCAAATTTAAAAATTTTAATCTAATTTTAAAACTACAAATGAGTTGATCCTTGGCAATACTCAGTCTTTTACTTCATCTTCTACAGTAGATGCCTGGATTCTGGTCCAGTCGTAACTGCTACAACTTAAAAGAAGAGGTGCTGGACAAGGGCTTTTAAAATTACCTGTGGTTAGTTTAGTTCTGACTTACCAAGTACAACGTCTGTATTTTTGCCATCTTTTTCTCCCACACACACCATCAGATTTGGATACCACACCAAGTATGATTCATATTATTCTTTAGAAATGTATTTCAATAGACAAGCTTTACAATTGAAAAAGTATTTGAGTTTTGAAAATACTAAGCCTTCAGTGAAAAGCATGTCCGGTCACTTTATTGCATACATTTTTTCGTGCAGCAACTCCAGATACATTTAGTAATTGCTAAAGCTGATTTTTCTTAGTCGATATCATAATCTAGTACATTTCTTTGAAGGAAAACAAATTCATCCACCTCATACTGCCAAAACATAATTTAAGCAGTTCCCTTCACAGAATTTCCTTCCAATAATTTTGGGGTAATGGAAAGTTTGGAGACTAAGAGGAGGAACTCTTCCTCACTGAAGACAATGCCTAGTATTTCCTGCCATCCAGCTGTATATCCTTAAATATCCACAAAAACACATAGGGAATAAACATCCACTGTAACACAAACCTAGGCTAAACTGGCTTTCAGGTATTTATGTAGGGATATACAAGCAATCAACTAGAATGCACAGCTGACTTCTACCAGCACTAATAGAAATGAAATGCAATCAGGGTGGGGGTTAAATACATCTTAAGAATACTTTCGAGTCGCTTACTTCATCATATTCAAGTTTCACCAAGTACTGCAGGATTATGTTAAAACTACAGGAGTCAAATCTTCGCTTGGAATTAAATTATAATCTCACCCCCCCTAATGCTTTCTGAAAATTCCTTTAAATACACAGACTTTTACGATGAGAGGTAATCAGTACACAAACCAAATCAAGCAAAAAAAGCTAGAAGCACCTGCATCCACTTTTTAAAAAGAGGAACATTACATTTAGAAATACTAAGAGCAGCATTATTGAAAATAATACACTCCAACCTTCTCAAAGGCTGTCTCAGCATCATCTTTATTTGTGTCTGGTCTTTCATTCTTAGTTAGATATTTTTGGTTTAAACTACAGCAAGTAAGGGTTTCCAGATGAAAAGATAATGAGAATCAAAATAAATACTACTGGCTGAAGAGATATATATTAGTGAATTGCCATTTAAAAAAAAAAATAAACAAAAACAAAACCCAAAAAAAACCACCAAAAGCTTTACTAGCTTGAAATCCTGTGACACACAAAATTTCCCTCATGGCTTAAAGGTCTGTACCTTATTCAGACAGCAAAACCTCCATTTTTGCAAACCTGTTTACCTGATTTCTATGAAAAGGCTTTAAAAAAACCCCTCCAAACAAAACAAAACCAAACCAGACAAAAATGCCCCCACACCTATCAGTGAACAAAAAAACAACTTAGTTACCAAACAAACAAAATGCTGTGAGTGAACTACTTTTCCTGATACACACTTTTTGATGCTTATACAAACCTTGCCATCTGCTATGATCTCTAACAAAATAACTGACTTCCGTTCTCAATCTAAGGTTTCACTATGACGGTAAATGTCTTACATTTAACATTAAAAGTTACTTCAGCCCCACTGTAAGATTGTATAGCTTTGTATGGTCATTGAAACCTGTTACAAAAGTAGTATCAGACTACTCAGTACTATGAATAAAGGACTTTTGAGGGTTACAGGTGCAAAACTTAAATGTAAATAGATGAAAATGTTTCTAAGACGAAACAGAGCAGAACTGTTTCATTTGTGGAGAGGCTACATGAACTCTATATAAAAATTTTTAACCATACATAATCCCAAACTTCATTTTGACCTTAATGCTATAAAAAACTAAGGGGATATAAAAAAAACTTGTGAAGGATTCCAGGGAATAAGTCTCCAAATAAACCGCTGAGAAAAATAGTGCACTGGCAAATTAAAACAGAAAAAATATTCAAATCCAGTTTTGGATTGTATAATTTACAATTAGAAGACAAATATAAGAACTGGATGCAGTACCTATGCCATTACTTTCAACTTATGAGGCTAAAAAGAAAAGAAGCCTATACCGTGGTTGAGGGAAAAGTGTTGCTCTTGAAATCTCTGACTTAGACCTTTCAGAGAGCATTTTGCACCCAAAGCAGTCTTCATAGTTAGCAGTTATTCTTAATGATAGAATTAGCTTTTTAAAAACAAAACCCCAAACATAATCTATATCAGCCGTAGTATGTTCTTAAGTATTACACAGTTACAACAAATGGTAATTATATACATTATTATAAATACAGTTCATATATAACTAATTTGCTAATTTATGCAACTCAAAGGTCCAGCAGGGATGAGCATACACAGTTTTAACATAATGTTAGAAAAGGGAATGTATAATTCTGGAAACAGATTATGATATATGACACATCAGTGGAAGACTTTGGTAATAGTGGTTTTATTTCATTGTCTCCTACCTGATAAATTCTAAATGGGATGTATCGAAATCCACTATCTTCTGGAGGATACTCCATGAGTTTTCGATTTATTGCCCAAAACTGCTCAAATTTGTCTGTGAAGGTAAAATTAGATTTTGTTAATATTAACAACACATATTCTTTTCTAGCTGAGATAAATGAGACAGGATTGGAAAAACATGCAGACTTTCCTTACATAAGTTTGACCTGTATGAATTTCTTTTTCCCGCATTTCTATGATTCTCTTCCCTATTTAGTTGGAAGCCAAAGGTAAGTCATCTGCAGTCTCCTATGAAAACTGTAATGTGGCAACTTGCCAAACTGAAAGAGAAAGCAACCTGAATTCATGTAGTATCTCCCACTGTTAGGGAAATATTGGGCCAGAAGTTACGGATTTCATTACCTCAACAGTGTCTGTTCCCTCACCCACTCCCCACTGCTACTGGTCCACACTCTCAAAGGTTATTAAAACTATCCAATTGTCCTTAACTATGTATGAATAATAGGTGTAAAGTAGAGAAAATGAAATCATAGAAAAACTTCTTGAAGGGTTTATATTTGGATACTTAAACCTTAAAATCTTCAACAATGTACAATATGATCAGAAAATATACTGCCATTTCATGACACAACCTCAAAATAAAAGTTTATGTTTGAAAAACATTTTTGTTAATATTATCCAAGCAACTAGGTTTAGCAAAGTAGCCCAAGGCAGCACATCATTTCATCCTGTTCAGACATTACAAGAAACAAATAGCTTATTGTGTTTAAAATGTGTTAAGGACAGCACAGGTCTAGAGCAGTAAAGGCCTTCATACACACAAATCAATTACTCAAATCAAGCAAATAACAAATACCAAAAGTGACAGAAAGGAACATCAAGAGCTAAGATGAATAAAGCTGCTGCTAGCCTTACTGGAAAAGAAAGCTTTAGAAAGAGAAGAGCAAGAGATAAGATTCGTTACAGGCTCTAACTCTTCAAGACACACAACACAGCAATGTTTCTTCAGAAGGAGCACAGTATCCCCAGATTTCCCTCCTCAGCACAATATTCAGACAAGACTCAAGAAGCCTGGTGGTATAACCGTTACAGAATTCAGCCCCCCTGAAGCAAGGTGAAATTCAGAAATCTATTTGCAGAACAAAGGATCTTCCCACTTCCAAAACTGCTAATAAGAATTAAAGCAACTGCAGAAAATTGAAAGATTCTGAGATTTGCTTCACTCCCATGTACAGCACAGATGCCAGTCAGTGCACTAAAAGACACTGTTAATACATATTGCAGGGTTTACAATGCGTTCCTTTTCCTTACTGAATGTGACAAGGCAGGAATTTCCAAGAAGTGGTAAACATACTCCTGCCAGGTATTCTGTAGGAGCATTCCCTGATACTTATCTCAAAGTACTTCCACACGTTTGCTTCCTGAGAGGCAAGTGCCTCTTGACAAGCACTTACATGAGCAGCAGCCAGCATCACCACGCAGGTACCTGCCTGAGATGGGGAGCTGCTTGGACACAGGTGCTACCCCATAGCTCACCAGCTGGGAAGCTCAGCAGGTCGCAGTGACAGTGACGACCATGGCACCAGTTGCACCCAAGCAAGCCTGCATTTGGGAACCCCAGCCTACACTCAGAGGTTTATTCTTACAATGTCTGACACAAAGAATGTGTGTCATCCTCACAAACTCCATCAGTGAGGAGGTGAAGACTTAGCACACTTCCCTCGTCCTTGGAGACAGCATTTAGAATGGCTTACAACTTTCACTGCAGACTGTGTGGACAGGAGGCACCGATTGATTTATACTTCAATTACCACTTCTGACTATATACTCAGTCGATAAAATTACTAATTATGTGATACACAAACCAAACTAAACAAAACCTGCTTAAGCTACTGAGCTTCAGCAAACTCTTAAATAAGGAATCTACATATTTGGAGACATCCTACCTAAACACAAATAAAACAAACATAACTTCATTTACTTGTTTAATGCTACTACAGTAACTAGGAAAGTTGGGTGAACAGCTTACCATCCTCAAAATTCAATAGAAATGAGCAACACATCTTACGTATCAGAGGAACACGGAATTCTGAACAAATAACAGACTTATAGTAGGAGCTTAGGTATATTGTTCCTTGTGACATATATGACAAACAAGTGAATCTTTGAAGGACAAAAAAAGTTAAACATTAGTAAGGTACAGTTAATTCACTTCTTCATTCCAACTTCCTCACCTCCCAGAAATTATGCAGGTAATCTTATTTATGGCAGGGAAATTTACAAATTTATTGTTCTCTGAACACTGACACATTGCTCAAGACAATCTATTGTTTTATCAAGGGGTTTAAATTTCTAGTAGTTTCTAAATATAACAGCAATAAATCTGCAACAGTTAACGATGAGACTTGTTGCATTTCATGATCAAGTATGTTCTGTCAATCTACCTTGTATCCTGGGAATGAAAAACTTTCTAATAAATTAGCTAGGAATAAGGGAGTCAGACATGTTAAGACACATCTCCACTGTGTGTACAGCACTGTCTGAAGACATCTACGCTAACTCATCCTCATAACCTTATGTTGCTGTCCTCCAAACATCTTTGCATGGATACAGTATTTTTATTACAGGAAACTGAGTTGAGTGTAAGAAAATTAACACAAGTTTTTAAAGCAAGCAGCAGGAAAAGGCTATCCAGTTTACATACTGATGCATATGACCTGGCGAGAGCTTTTATTAGCATTAGGGGCACTGACTGAACACCAGAATCCTAAAGCTCCAAAATCTAAAAACAACTTTTGCAGAAACCTTAAGACTCAAAACTTAAAAACAAACAAAAAACCCACCACGACCCACCACCACCAATCCCCTTGAAAATATAAGTGAAAGGATTCCTCATTCTCCCATTTTTGTGTGTTAGTACCTCCCATATATGCAAAACAGACTTAAGGAAGCTATTAATGCTATAAGAACTAATTAGTGCTTTGGCTAGACAGGTCTTAAAGACAGAAGGTGCCGGAAGTTTGACGATCAAAACAAAACTGAGTTTTCGCCAAGCCAGTAAACAAGAACAGTTCCCTATTTATTAGCAAAAGCACTTTACACACTCATCTCCCTTCCTTGCGAAAAGCTTATGCAGTCTACACGATATCTAAACTCCTGTAACAGTCAAACCTGATTACTTTTGTTTTCCACAACCCATCTGTTTTTAAGAAAGTGCTTGACCAATGTGTTAAAGAGTTTCTGTATTAGCAAAAAACAGTACTTGCAAAAGGCAGATGCTCATATCGGAACAACAATATTTAAAGTAATGGCAATAAGATCCAAACAGAAGTGAGATTAGTGACAGTATAAAAGTTTCAGATGACTACTAATCATATTTCTTAAACAAGAGAGGGTGGATACTATATAACTTTGCCTAAAGGGGAATATAAAAACTTTTCTCACTGCATTTTATATCAAAGAACAGAAAATTAATAATCAAATAATGGAGAGGAGATCCAGTTGAAAAATCTGTCACTTAGAAATATGTCACTTATAAGTATTTATTAGAAATGCAGTCACTGAAAGATACCAGACAGACATTATCCTTCAATACTACAGAGATGCACACATGCATGATTTTTTAACTGTACTATTCATGGTGTCTTCTTAAAGCTATCTATTTGTATAAATTTGAAATGTATCTCTAGCTCTATGCAAGGCATACCAATCTGCAGCTTCCATAAAAATGTGTCCAATCCTTGAATTTAAAAAACACAAACCTTGTGTGTATTCTCAGTGGTTCACCACTGTCTAGTAACCATATGAACCATAGAAATAATGCACAGCTAGAAGTACTTGCACAGAACCACCCATAACATTAACTAAGAGACTGTGGTGGGTCTCATGCAGAGCACACAGTGCTCATGCAGAGCACGAGAGACCCAGAAGTCCTTGATTAGGGTAAGCACTACTTAGCAACAAGTAAAACATCAGTGTATTATCAGCACTGTTCTCAGACTAAAGCCACAACACAGAACTGTACCAGCTACTACAAAGAAAATGAACTCTCTCCCCCAGCTGAAACCAGCAGAGACCAAAGGCTCTCCAACTGATGTACCAGAATCATAGAAAAACTTTAAATTGGAAGTGCCTTTGGAGGCCAAGCTCTGGAATAAAAGCTCCTGCCCCCACCTCTTACCTCCCCTCCCGCCTCAGGGAAAAAAAAAAAAAAGAAAAAAAAGAGCTGAAGAGCTGTCTACACAAAGTCAAATGAGTTTGCTCAAGGCCTTGCCTGGTCATGGTTTGACCATCCCCACAGGTTTCCACTCAACCACTCTCACTTCCTCTGCCCAAATATCCCAGACTTCCTCCTGCAGAAACTTGTAACCATTTTCTTTTGTAATTGTACAACTCTACTGCCAGCGAAGGCACGTCTGAGAGCAATCTGACTCCATCTAGTCTACAAGCCTTCCTTCCAGGTAGTGGAAAGCAGCTATTAGGTCCATCCTCAGCCTCCTCACCTTTAGGCTAAACAAGACAATTCTCCCCACTCTCCTTAAATAGAGCATATGCTCCAGCCCCTAATCACCCTAGCAGCACTCTGCTGGACTCTTTTCTATTCGCCAACGTTTCTTTTGTCCTGGGGTCCCAAAGAGGACAACAGCATTCCCAGCGCAGCTTTACAAGTGCTAAGCCGAGGGGAAGAATTACCCACCATCTGTCTATATTCTAGGGGGCACAAGGGCAAAACCAGCTCTGTAGTTAATCTTCAATTTTGCAACACACACAACAGACTTTTAATTCAGCTTGTTGTCCACCATTACCCACTTCCACAAAGCTGCTTCTCAGCCAGTCCCTAGCCTGCCTGGAGGTATGGGGGTTTTCCTGTCCCTGGTGCAGGACTTTTGCACTTGTCAGCTCCTGCTTGCCTATTGCTCCAGCTTGTTACAGTTCCTTTGAATGGCAGCTCTGCCCTCCATCTATCAACCGCTCTCAACGACTTTTTCTTTTAGTCAAAAACTCACTAAAGGTTTAATCTGCCATATACATATGGTCACATAAACTGTAGTTTACAGACAGCTACAAGTCAAGGATACAAAATGTATTTTCTTAACATTAAAGGAAGTATATTTTCTACTGACTCATGCTCTAATAAGCGCTGTGTTTGCAGCCAGAAAGGAGTCTTCTCAAAATTTAGTATTAGTTCTACTTCCACCTTGTTTCCAGGAAGACTAAGACTCTACATGCATGCAGAGTTCTGTTGACTGCTTAGCAATGTTAACCAATTGTGTAAGAAGTTAGATTTTTTGCGACATGCCTTAAACACGAAGCAATGTTGACGATGGAAGATAAATATTATAAACACGTCAAAATTAACTGTACTCTGCTATTCAGAAACATCTTTTCTAGGTAGTTACTCTATTTCTCAGCCACTTAAAGACTGGTCTCTAAATTACTTTAGGCCATCTAACCAGTAGTAGTATTATCCATCATTTCTGACCAAAGAATTTTAACAATTCTTATAAAGGAAGAGAGGTCAGTATCTATATAGCCTGCATTTATCACTTCCCTACTACAGTCAGCTATCCACGACGCTGGTCAAAATCAGGGCAACACAGATGTACCTGTCCCAGAGAAGTGTTCTAGCTAAGAAATATCTGGTTTATGGACAAAGATTGCCTAACTGAAGTCCGAAGAACAAGCAAAACCACGGCACAAGCAACAGACAGAAGAATATGTTTACCTTCCTGATTTGGCAGCAGATTAACACAAACCCAGAAATGGTGGGAGGAGGGATGTAAACGTTTTTATGAATACCTACCAGCTGTTACCAGCACAAGATTTGGCACAAATTCACTGTTAATAGCTCTTCCCCTAAAAGCCATCTACAAGCAACTGAAAAGTTTCTCATGCTACCTGTTCAAGCACCTCCTTCTCAGCAGAAACATCTCTACTGAATTACACTTGTAATTGGTAGTTAAATCTTTCCAAACAAGAAAAACTAGATTTCCCCCCCCAAATGTTTAACATGTATCCTGTAAGTACTGCTATTGCTTGTTAAAAAATATCATATCTTATATTTAAGAACTGGAGAAAATGTTTTGAAGCTTCACAGAGAAAAAAACCAAACCTGCAGATGTATCATTACTTACAAGGCAGATATCACAAATGCTACTTTCTTTTCTTTTTTGTGGTGGTTCATTCTGTTTCACAAAGAGGTTTAAAATTATTACACCTCAAACGAAAGCCTATAAAAACATACTGAAAGATACAACATGCTTAAAAAGAGTCATCTTAGTTTCACAAGCTTTTCTTGTTTCTCTTTTATGAAAAGCTGAGAAATTAAAATTAGCATTTGAAAGTATTCAAAAGATTGTTTAAGCTTCTCATTTAGGTGTCAGATTCCACAGGTGTGAATTCTCATCAAGTACAGCGAAACCTTGAAATCAGTCTTGCTAGGCAACATTATAAAGCAAAA